GTGCTGTGTGTGACAATGCACCAGCAAACATTTCACTCGACCCGCCAAACAAAACACTCACCCCTTCTCCATTTCAAACGCTCCTCCCCCTGTTCCAACTGCAGGTGTTTTCGTTGCTGCAAGATGAGGCACGCGGCATCGAGCACACGCATCTCGTCCTCAGCGCGAAAGATCTCAGACACTACCAGCCGCACCCAGCCGGGATTGACATCAAGCGGCTTGAAGATCTACCACCGCACGAAAACATCGCATTCTTCAGCACTGGCGCACACCACTCGACTCCAGAGCCCGTTGGGGATCTGCTGGTGCGCAATCCTGTGCTGACGGCGCGGTGGCACGAGCCTGGCTACGAGTGGCGACATCCAGCCTGGTGTCTTGATGACAGCTTTGATCGCCTGCTCTCATGGACTGGCCCTGGTGATCATGGCGTCTTCACGGCGCCGCTGCCACCAGACACCGACCTGTATCGGTGGATCGAGGGCCAGATGACGCAAGGTCTCACCCTGTCACGCGTGGAGGTGACCAAGTCCACCACCATACTGCGTGCATTCCACACCCGAATGGCGCTATCGTCCGCTCGACGTGGCGACCCCGACCCGTCCAATCCCTTCAACAGGGACTTTGGAGCTGGCGATCCGGAGAAACAAGCCATGCTCGATCGCCTCAAGACACAGTTTGCAGCGACTGCGGATGGCGGTGTTGCGCACGTGAACGTTCTTGTTGGCTGGCACGGGTGCGGCGAAGCCGTGACCGACAGCATCATTGCCACGGGCACCGCCAGCCTCAGAACCTCAAACGACGTTGGGTACTTTGGTGCCGGTATCTATCTCACCCCGCAGGCCAATTACGCCGCTGGCTACTCGACGCGCTTGATGACCGGAAATTGGCGCCAGCCCAATGCAAATGGCGAGCACGTGTTGCTGCTGTGTGCTGCCGGCGTTGGCCTCGCATACCCCATCACCAGGAGGACCGACTACACGCGCAAAATTCCGAAGATGCCCAAGGTGTGCGACTACTACGGACAACCATTGTACAGCGGTTGTGACTCGCATTATGTTCAGGTGACACGCAGCAACAAGTTCCAGGCCGCTGATGTACCTGGCACGTTTGACTTTGAGGAGTATGTCATGGGCCAGGAAGCGCAGGTGCTGCCCATCGCCAGGGTCTTCGTTACAGTCAACAAGAACGAGCTTCGCTCACACCTGGCTGCTTCGGAGCCTGCCAGCGCCGCCACCGACGCAGCATGATACCAGCCTTGCTGATGATGACGTGGATGTTGCAGTTGTTGTTGTTGTTGTTGTTGTTGTTGAGGAGGAGGAAAGCGCTGTGTGGAGAAGGGTGGGGATGTGGAGCGAGAGAAGGAGGTCTTGACAGTGCATGGCTGTCTGCTGTCTGTGACTGAAGCAGGGCGTGTGTGTGTGTGTGTTTGTGGGCTGTTGGTTTGATTGTCTTTCTTGTGTTTGCTTCGTGGTCAGCGCTGCCCTTTCCTTCGGTGACTTGTTTGCACACCAGCACTTGTGTTGCGTTTAATACCAAGTCACCGTCTTCATTGCACACCACGCCCCCCCCCCCCAAGTCTCATTTCACTCCTTGCGTTCGCTGCCCATCGCTTCTTCAACCCCATTAGTGTTTTCGTTTCATTCTATGTCCAGATGTTCATGTTCGCGCTCGTGCCCGAGCAACCGTGGGTGTTGTGGAGTGCCACAACAAGAGTCCCTTATCACTACAAAAGCATCACAAACCTTAAGCTTATATGGCCTTCGTAGCCAAGCCGGTGAAATGCTAGCCCCTTTTATTCCCGCTCTACAACAGTGGGTGAGAACCCCAAAACATTGACAACATGAGCAAACAGACTACCAGGGCAAGCTGCCACTGTCATGTCACACAGAGCAAAACACACGGCCTGGATGTGCTGTGTTGCTCCTTCCAGCTCCCTCAACGTCCCACCTGTTCACCTCCCCCCTTCCCACCTTCCGCTGTTCCCCAATTCACTTGGCCACGGCGCACAAGAAGCGAAGCAGCAGGTTCTGTGTGGCTGTGACTGTGGCTGAGGACTGGCTGCCAAAGCCCTGGGCCCGCTGGGCCATGGCAGCAAATTCGGCGAGGTTGCGCTGTGCCCTCTGCGTGTACGGATGTGCGGAGCCCATGCATCTTGTGTACGTGTGCAGAGCGCGGCGCGTGTGGGCGATGGCAGCGGCCAAGTCACCCCTCTGAGCAGCCACGAGCGCGAGGTTGTCGAGCGTCATGGCCGTGCTCGGGTGGTCTTCACCAAGCGCGCGCTGCTGGATGCGCAGGGCCCTGTTGAAGTGCTCGCGCGCGCGGGCCACGCTGCCCTGCTGAAAGCACAAGCTGCCCAAGTTGAAGTATGACGACGCCGTCTCCGGGTGCTCCGTCCCCAGCACCCGCTCTTTGATGTGCACCGCATTCGTAAAGTACTCGAGCGCACGCGTGGGGTCGCCCATCTTGACAAGCGTTGTGCCGATGTTGTTGTAGCACATGGCTGTGGAGAGGTCATCCTCGCCACGGGTCTTGCGATGAATTTGTAGCGCTGCTGCGTACATTTTGATGGCCTCCAGCAGCTGGCCCTTCGATACCAGCGTATTGCCGAGTTGCGTGAACGCGGAGCCGGTGTGCGGGTGGCTGGCGCCCAGTATGGTGCTGAAGATGTCCAGTGCCTTGTGCAAGTAGACCAAGGCCTGGTCGTAGTCTGCCTTGGCATCATAAAACGTGCCCAAGCTCACGTACGAGGCTGCCACATCCGGGTGCTGCTCACCGAGCGTCGCACGCCGAATCTGCAGCACCCGGTGGCTGAAGTCAATGGCTTGCGCATATTCGCCCTTCTTGCTGTAGGCCTGGCTGATGTTGTTGAGCGCCTGTGCAAGATGCTTGCGCGCACGGCTGTCGCTGAGGGACGCGAGCATCGACGCGCTCTGTGCGTAGTAGCGGATGGCCTCATCGTAGTTGCCCTTCTGCATGAGGGTGTTGCCGAGGTTGTTGAGTGTGATGCCGGTGCTCTCGTGGTTGTGCCCGTGCACAGCCAGATCGAAAGCAAGTGCCTTCTTGAAGCACTCCGCCGCCTTGTCAAGGTTGCCACTGCCACTGTGTGCGGTCCCAAGGTTGTTGTACGCAACACCCACGCCCGCGTGCTTCGGGCCGTGCCGGGCCAGGGTCACCCGCAAATCAGTTTCGTGGAGTGGGATGGCCGCCTCGCTCGCGCCAAACGACGTCATCACGCTGCCCACTCGGCTGCACATGAGCGCGTAGCTGTCCGTGTCGGTGGCGCCTTTGCGCTCCATATCCGTGACGAAAGTTTGGGCGACGCGCAGGCACCACGCGCGCATCTGGTCCTTGACGGCCTTGTTCAGCTGCGTGAAGCCGACGGTGGAGTTGATTGCCTGGAAGATCATCTCCTTGTCCTCGGGCTTCCACGCCTCGGCCTTCCCCGCCTGTACCTCGACCAGCATGTTCGTGATGGCATCTGCGTCGTCCAGCAGAGCTTGCCCAAGGGCATTGTGCTGGTGCTGAGGCAGCCGGATGGCAAGCTCCACGCCCTCCTGGCTGATGCCGCAGAAGATCTCCCACAGGCACCACGCGCGCGTCAGCGGGATGGGGTTGCTCCACGGCGTCAACACCAGCAGCACTTTGCCAATCGCAGCGATGGACTCCTTGAACGTCGTGCTCCACCTGTGGCGGGAAGGGGAGGGGGAGGGAAGGGGTTAGAAACAGGTGATTTGCGTGTTGAAAGTGGTGATGGTGGTGGGGGGGGGGCGAGATCCGGATATTGAAGGGTTGAACGCGGGAATGGCAAACACAACGGATCGTGACAAGACAAAGGCGATTTGAGCTGGTCACAGTGAACGCACCCATCATCTATCCACCTGTCGTGTGTCACGATCAAAACGCACAGACACACAGACACACAGACACACAGAGACACACACACATACACAGAGACACAGACACACACAGACACACACACAGACACACAGATACACACACGCGCATACAGAGGTCTGCGCACCAGTCTTGTGGGAGATCGGCTGCAATGTTTTGGTTGTTCATGAAGAGATCAAACCAGAAGTAAGGCTCTGGCCGGCCGTGTCGTTTCTCTTCTTCAGCAAACTCAACCATGGTGGCAAGTACGTCTGCAATCTTGTACCGCCACGCGTGTGACACAAATACGGTAGCCGTGCCGATATGCTCTGGGTCCATGAGTTCCAAAAAGGCGCACTGCTTCTCCTTTGTGCGTGGAAGCACCACCGTGTTGCACGTGTCTGCGGTAGTCAACGCACGCAGCTTGTCAGTGTCGCGATCAACGAACTCGTCCATCAACTCTTGGAAGAACTTGCGCAGCCCAGCCGCGGACACGCCTTGCAAGGATAGCGGTGGTGGCCGGGACGCCATGACGGCCACTGGTAGCCTGGTAGCGGCGAGGGTGAGACGCAAAGAAGAAGACAAGAAGACACACCCAATGAGAGGAAGATGGTCAGGAAGACGCTCACGTCAGTTCGAAATGGAGCAGTGTTCTTTGCTGTGAGATGTTGTTGTTGCTTGCTTGAAGGCAAGCCACTGGAACCAGGACGGCGGCCTATTTATGGGTGACCGCCGGCCGCCTTGAAAGTCCTGGCTTTCAAGTTTGTACATTTTTATGTGTCGTGTGTCGACACCATATGCGCGTCAATGAGGACACTGCTGATTACACACACACACACACACACACACACACACACACACACACACACACACACACACACACACACACACACACACACACACACACACACACAGACGCACAAAAAGGCCATGCGAAGGAGCACCGCACGCGATCGCCATGATCGATCCCATGTGCTGTGTTACCTGGTGTTGGCACTGGTGTTGGGCTTGCCACCTCAACAATCACACGCACACGCCACCGTTGATGCCCACGCTTTCAAGGTACGCTGTGTGTGTGTGCATGGTGACTCACCACCAAATGATCAGCTCACCTGCTTGTAAGGAGGGATCAACATACCCTGTTTCACACACAGACACAGACACACACACACACACACACACACAAACATGCACACACATACACACACATACACGCACAGACACACGCACACACACGACTCATTTCCTTCTCACTCCCCTTCCCTGGCCACACCTTCCGCCATACACACCATTGCAGGATGGCTTGTGTGGCGATGTAGCAGGAACGCTGGACACGATCGGCGCCGCATTTACGCGACATGGAATACCTTTCCTGCAGAGCAACGATACAGCGCATGAAGAAGAAGAAAAAGAAGAAGTTGATGAAAGAGCCGCGTCCTCACAGCAGGTTATCAGCCTGCTGCCTGTCGTTCGCATGATGCAGGCCTTTGGCTGCATGGATCCTGAGCCACACAACGACCCACTCCTGCCCGCCACCAAAACCCTCCACCCACAGCTGCAGCCACAGCTGCAGCCACCACAGTCACAACCACCACCACCACGGGCACCTGTAATACGTTCGCGGCACCGGCGGGAGGTGCTGACGTCTGCATCGTCCTCTGTCAACGAGTGCCGCGTGCGTGGGTCCTGCAAGCTGGCCACCGTGCTGGACGGCACGTGCTTGGGCCCGACCGTCAACGGCACGCTGACCATAACCTTTGCGCACGATGAGGCGGAGATCGACACCACCAGCGGCCCGTCTGCAGTCCGTGCTCTGCAGTTTGTATCCGGCAACACGACGAGCCTCACCATCACGGGGCGCGTGGGGTCTGTGACGTTGCAGTGGCTGCTGGACAATGGCGTGTGGACGGCTGTGCGCGACCTCACCGTCGAAGGCCTGCAGTTTACCGAGCTGCAGCTGAGCATGTTCAACCCATTTAGCAGCATGGACACACTTCGCGTCGTGAACAGCGAGTCGCTCACCATATCTGCACAGGGCGCAGACATCGCCGAGCAGCTGCTTGTGCTCAGCCTGCGCAACATCTCGCTGCCCTCCCTCCCCACCGACACGTTTGCACGCATGACGGCCCTGCTGCAGCTCGACCTCTCCCTCAACCGCCTCAGTCATCTCGACAAGCGCCTCTTCGCTCCGCTTACAGCGCTGCAGCAGCTTTTTCTCGACCACAACCGCCTTCAACGCATCCCCGCAGGCGTGTTGAACACACTCACCGCGCTGCGTGTGCTCATTCACGAGCAGAACGACATCAGCGTGGTGGACGCGGGCGCCTTTCAGGGGCTCACCCGCCTCTTGCTGCTGGACCTGACCGACAACCCGGTTGCAACCCTACCGCCGCACGTGTTTGATGGGCTCACGGCACTCCGGCAGCTGGAGTTGGACGACCTGCGCCTGCAACGCCTGCCGCAGCGAGCGTTTGCACACACGACGCAGCTGCGCCTCCTCCGCATCAACAACAACGACCTGACCGCGTTTGACGAGGATGTGTTCTGGGGTCTGTCGCAGATGCTTGATCTCCGCTTCCACAACAACAGGTTCACGCGCATGCCGCCACGCCTGTTCAGGGACCTGAGTCAGGTCGACACCATGATCCTTCGTGACAATCGCCTCAAGTCGCTCCCCGCCCACCTGCTGGACGCGTGCGTTTCGTTAAAGGACTTCCGCTGTCAGAACAACCAGCTGACGTCTGTACCACCAGGATTGTTTCGCCACATGACCATGCTCCGTGTGGTGTTTTTGTCCGGCAACCAGCTGCAGTCTGTCGACGGCCTGTTTGACAACATGACCGCGCTGACGGGGCTGGTGCTGGACGGCAACAACATTGCGCACTTTCGCACACCGATCCCGTCCCTGTCCATCCTGCGATTGCGCAACAACCCCATGCGCGAGCTGCCACACCTTGAAGACTTTCCAGTTCTGGACGAGCTGCGCCTATCGCAGCACCTCATCCCCGTTCTCGACCTGTCCATCCTCACGCGCCACACGCCGCTGCACATCCTGCAGCTTGACGCCGACCCGCGCGTCCACTCGACCGCCATCGTCCACCCGGCACAGACCAGCAGTGGCAACAGTGGCAGTGGCAACAGCGGCAGTGATGCGGTGCCGCCGCCATCGGAGCTGACCAGCCTCCACCTGCAACACGTGGACATCCGAAACCTCGTGCAGAACCTCCGCCGCGGCCGCGTCTTCAACATTGACCGGCTGCATCTCGGATGGAGCGACATGGACGAGACCACGGTCGACACCGCCGCGCTGTGCCACATCCTCGCCGACAACGTCATCGACTTTGCCCTCTCCAACACGCGCTACGCCGCCATCACCCTCTGCCCCAACAAGACGTTCGACTCCGTCCTGTTGCAGGACAACAAGCACGTGGCAGCCGTGTCCATCCCCGGCAGCGTGCGCGCTCTCAACATGTCTGGGTGCAACGCGTTGACCAGCCTGGACGCGCCGCTGGTCGAGGTGCTGGACGTGAGCGAGACGCGTGTCACCCCGAGTGCTGCCATCTGCACGCGGTGGGGCCGCCGCGTCCTCTTCGCCCGCAACCTGCTGCTGCAGCGAGGGCTGGGCAACCTCCCTCCCGTGCTGTTCCGGTGCCTGCAGACTGTGGATGTGATTGACCTGTCCGGCAACCCCTGGCTGGACATGCCATCCGTTGTCAACAGCGTGGCGGGCGAGATTGTTGCCCTGTCACACCGCTCCCTGTCCATTTCAGGCATTTTTGTGCGCACACGCACGAATCCCCCCGTGCTGCAGCTGCAAAACACGCCTATCGAGTGCGCCATTCGGTTTGGCAACGAGCTCCTGCGTGTGAACGGGCAAAAGTTTGCAGTGAGCACGGAGGTTGTCTACAACTACGACTGCACGTGCGCGCGGGGCTTCAAGATGACGTCCGGTGGGCGGTGTGTGGTGGACAACCCAGATGTTGCTGGCGTGGCTGCTGGCTCTGTGATTGGTGGGCTGTTCTTTGGCCTGTTCGTCGCCTGGCTGTCACGCCGCTACCGTGGCCTGACCAAACGCATCGACTTACAGGAGCAGCTGCTGGTGGCGCGAGACGAAGAAGTGATGGCACTGAAGAAGGCGTGGGAGATTGAGTACGATGAGTTGAGGATGATCAAGCGTGTTGCTGCGGGCGCGTTTGGCGTGGTGTTCAAGGCCGAGTGGGACACGGTGACGGTGGCGGTCAAAGTGATGCAGGAGAGTTTGATGCTTCTTGATGACACGATGGTGGTGGAGTTTGAGAAGGAGGTGGAGTTCTTGCAGAAGACACGGCACCCGAATGTGGTGCGCTTCTTTGGCGCGGGCACAGACCCCAACGGCAGCCCGTTCCTGGTGCTGGAGTTTGTGGCACTCGGGTCCCTGCGAGATCTGTTGGGGAAAGATATGGAGCAAGTGTTGAGGGAGGTGAAGAACAGGAAGTTTGAGGAGAGTGGTGCTGGCCGCGATGATGTGAACAGTGTGTGGGACTTGAAGCTGCGACTGCTGCGTGACGTCGCGAGTGGCATGGCATTTATCCACAGCCTCGACCAGATGCACCGGTCAGTGTTGTGTGTGTGTGTGTGTGTGTGTGTGTGTGTGTGTGTGTGTGTGTGTGTGTGTGTGTGTGTGTGTGTGTGTGTGTGTGTGTGTGCCGCGTGCTTGCTTGTGCATGCAAGCACGTGTTACTTGCTCACCTTACCGGCCTATTCTCACTTGCACCCCCTCTCCCTTCCCCACAGAGACCTGAAGAGCGGCAACGTGCTGGTGTCATCGTCGCTCCGCGCCAAGATTACGGATTTCGGATCCATTCGCCAGTGCTTCACGCGAGATCGGAATCAGCGGCACACACGCCTCTCCTCCACTTCAAGCGATGATCCCCGGTACAGCCAGCAAGCTGGACTGCAGACGATGACGAGCATGACACTGACGGCTGGTGTGGGGACGCCGCTGTACATGGCACCAGAGGCATTGGTGGGTGACAAATACAGCTTTGAGGCCGACGTGTTCAGCTTTGGCGTACTCATGTGGGAAGTGGCGATGCAGCGGGTGCCAGACCTGATTGAGCAGGAGAAGGGGAGCGGGTATCGAGGACCAATCCTCGCCACGCTGAAGAGCTTGATGGACCAAGGCATCCGACTCAAGTTTGACGATACTGATGGTGAGTCGGCATAAGATGGCTGCATTGCGCGCGCGCGTGCGTGCTTGCGTGTGTGTGCGTGCGTGTTTATGTGTGAGCTTGTGTGCGCGTGTGCGTGTGCGTGTGCGTGTGCGTGTGCGTGTGCGTGTGCGTGTGTGAGCTTGTGCGTGTGTGTTTGTAGACATATGTGGTTGGATGGTACAGTTGCCACATTGTGTGCTGTGTGCAAGCAGGCGCACGCGATGTTGATGGTTATATTCCCGCAATCTCTTGTGCGGCCACTCACGATGCAAGGTCTGTCATCGTGCATTCACATCACACCGCTTCGCATCAGGCGCGATACCGCTGTGGTTCAAAGCGCTTGCACGGGACTGCATGGACCAGCACCCGCGCGGCCGGCCGTCATTCAAACGCCTCAGCGATGTGCGTTTGAAGGAGCAGCCATAGCCTGTCGTGCTCTTGTGTTGCGTTGTGTTGTGCTTGTGTATGCACGTATGCATGTGCATGAATTTGTGCATGTGCGTGTGCATGAATATGTGCATGTGTGCGTGCATGCACACCCGTGTGTGTGTGTGTCTGTGTGGACAGGGTGTAGTTTGGAGTTCGCTGTGAGATATTGGGGTGCTGGTGTATATGATAAAGGACACGAGACCTGCGGTGTTGCGCATACGGGTCATAGTTACACCAGTGGTTTCCTCGTCTAGCATTGTAGCATTAGATTGAACAGTCGTAGCGCCTTCAACAAGCGATATCATGCGAGAAACATTCTGCTGAGAGGGTGGGCAGGCGTTCTGCAAACACATTCGCCCCTCAAACACACGAGATTCGCTTTTCAATCGCCATGCAAGATTCAGCAAAGCATCATGGGTACGACAATGCTGGTGGTGATCATGCAAGATGACATGACATATCGCTGTCTTGTTCGGGTGCGCACAGTTTCACAGGATACGCGACTGCCTGTCGTTGGAAACCAGTATGTTTTGGTTCACAACCGTGGTACATGTCGCTAATGACTCGTGGCGGACTGGCCTGAGCGGTCGCTTGCTTCAGTTCGGAGCATGAGGAAAAGCACGCAAACACAGGCACAGACACAGGCACAGACGCACACACACACACACGCACAAAAGCAAACAAGTGCGCTTTTGCCAACCACATACACGCACACACGCACACGCACACACACACACACACACACAAAGTAAGCAATTGAGCAAACGAACACATGCGTACACCCTCAGCTGATGTAGTTTGGAATGAGCTGGAGCATCTCCTGCTGTGTGAAGACGTGGCCGACGGCGAGCTGCTGGGCGATGGCGGTGGCCATCCCCTCAACATCAATCGTCTGGCCGCTCATCTCAGCGGCAAGGAAGATGGAGTACAGCTGCGTCGTGAACGGGTGCAGGCCCTCGGGGAAGTCCTTGCCTGCCGTCGGCTCTGTGAAGCGTGCGTCGTCGTTTTGCCAGATGGGCGCCAGGACGAGGCGGATGACATCAGGACTCTCCAAGATGGCAAACGAGGACGCAAACACGTCCTCAACAAAGAGCGTGGAGCCATCGTCCGTCAGCGGCGTGTAGTAGTCTGGCTCGATGGTGGAGGTGATGCTGGTGATGGTGACGGTGTACACGACACCGAGGTCAGCGTCGTAGCGCAGCAGGCGGTCGCCAACAGCAAACTCGCCAGTGAAGATGAACTCGCCTGCAGGCTGCACCGTTAAGCCATCAGCAATGTGCACGTCCTCGTCTGCGCGGAACACAAAGTGGTCCGGTGTTGCAGACATCAGTGCGGGGTTGCCGTCCTTGTCCGTGTAGTGCAGCTCGACAGATGTGGTGGTGCCGTTCAGCTCCACGTGCTGGAAAGTCTTGAGCTCGCAGTAGCCGAGGGCGTTGCCGGCCGATGCCTGCAGGCAAAGCACACGGTCGCCAGTCTTGAGGTTCCGCAGCTGCACGCGCTCGCCGCTCTCCAGAATCACCTCGGCCCAACCAGGAAAGCACGTGGGGCTGGTAGACGTTGGATCAGACAGCACGACAGGGCAGTCTGCACCAGAGTTCTTGAGCCGCGCACTGCAGCCGTGGGTAAATGTGCCATCAATGTCAGCTGTGTAGAGAGTCTGCGTCGCGCCAGTCGCGTCTTGCAAGATCGCAAAGTAGATGTATCGACTGTACCCAGTCGATACGGACCAGAACGCCGTTGCATTGTCGAGGATGTTGGCGTATTGGTTGTCGGGTTCATCGGAATAACCAGCACACTTGATCTCCGTACCAACAGGTGCACCGCCATCAATCGTCAGTTGAAGGCCATTACCATAGCCAGCAGCAAACAAGGACGCCACAGGTGTGCTGATGGTTGGGCAGGTACTATTTGAAACCTGTGCTGTTGTTGTAGTTGTAGTTGTTGTCGTCGTCATTGTTGTTGTTGTTGTTGTTGTTGTTGTTGTTGTTGTTGTTGTTGTTGTTGTTGTTGTTGTTGTTGTTGTTGTTGTTGTTGTTGTTGTTGTTGTCGTCGTCGTGAAATCAACATCGCAGTCCATGTCAGCTGACCCATAGGCGCAGAAGCGACTGAAAGAGGCGTATGAGAAAGGTCATGTGTGTTCGTCGCGTGAGCAACTTGACAAGGACAGTGCATAGTCACGTCGTGGAGCACACATATGTACACTTGCACATACTTGCACACATACACTCACACACACACACTCACTCACACACACTCACTCACACCTGCACGTACATGCACACACACACACACACACAAGTGCACATCCACCCGCAAGCATATGCAACTCACAAGCATCGGAGGGAGCGTTGCGCCTCGGCGTGGGTGGTGGTCGGCGTGATGTCATCACAATCAGCAAGACAGATGCCCATTTGCACAAACGCAAACACGCTGAAGTGATCTGTGGTGGACAGGCAGTCCCCAAACGCATCGCGCACGCCATCCTCCTCAATGGCCTTTGTTTGTATGCATGCGTGTGCATGCGTATGTATGTATGTGCGTGTGTGCACGTGTATGCATAGGAGAAACAGTGCGTGAGTCGAGCGGTGATGACACTCAAGGTGGAGAAGCGCTAACAGCGACAAAAATTACAGCAATTAATGAATTTCATGCCCACACCTTGCCAATGCAGGCGTTGATGCTGCTTTCGCAGTCAGGTGTGCACTCTGTTGTGGTCGTCGTGGTTGTTGTTGTAGTGGTTGTAGTGGTTGTAGTGGTGGTAGTCGTCGTCGTCGTCGTCGTGGTTGTAGTCGTGGTTGTAGTTGTTGTTGTGGTAGTTGTGGTTGTGGTGGTAGTGGTCGTTGTCGGTTCAACTTCGACAATGCCAGTGACTGAGCAGAAGTTGAAACGAAACCTGTCCACCGTCATTGCGCAGGCCTGTAGCAGCTGTACGTGCGCTGGGTTGAGGGTGGTGGTGCGAAACGTGGTGCCGTTGATGACTTCAATCGTGGCTGCTGTGTCGCCGTTGTACCGGCACACCTGCATGCGTGTGTGTGTTTGGGTCGAGGGAAGAAAGAGCAAAGATGAATGTGTGTGAGTGAATGAGAGAGAGTGTGTGTGTGTGAGTGAGTGTGTGTGTGTATGTGTGTGTGTGAGTGTGTGTGTGTGTGTGTATACATACGTGAGTGAAAGGGCGTGCCTACACGCACACAAACATCCGCATGCATAAACATAGAACACACGCTGACACAGAACGCCAGCAACTCACGCGTCCAATGTTGCAGTCCTCAGCGAGGGCCTGCTTCCAGCGCATGCCAAAGAAGTCGATACCGTCCTCATCGCGCTCATCAAGTGGTTCGCGGCAGTCGACAGTCACCTGAGCATGTGTGCACGTGCGTGTATCACAGGGTGTGTGTGTGTGTGTGTGTGTTGTGTGGGTTTCGGGGAGATGAACTTGTGAGAGGCGTCACACAAGACTCGAGGCTGCTTCAAAGTCTGGTGTCAGACAACAGAGAGACGACCGGCAACGAATGGACGCTCATGCACACACAAGCAATACATATGCGACAAGTCGCTGACGTGCGCACCTCAAACGTCGTGTCGAATGTGGTCTGAGCGCAACTGGAGACGGCGACGCAGCCGTTGGATTCCGTGTCGTTGCAGCGGTACACCTTGAGGCAATCTGGCATGAAGGGAGACGAAGAGAGAAAGAGTTATGAGAAGGGATGAGCGGCAAGGCAGATGACAACAACTTTGAGGGGTTCCTATCATTGGCATACAAACGTGTATTGTCCCATGCATACACGCAAGCACACAGGTTTGAACTCTGAACGACAACGACAGTAATCATGAGAGCCATTGATGCTCACACACCTCCGTTGTCACACGCCTCGAACTGGCGGCACTGGCACGCGCCACCTGCAAGTAGCGAGTCGAGGCCCAATGAAGTGGCAGGGATGAGACCAAGACTCGACACGGACCGACAACGGCAGGATGTAACAAACTTGCAAGCGCACAGGCACGCGCAGGCACACTGACCAAGAGTGCATCGGGAGCGTGAGAGGCCTGAAGCCTGACCCTTTTCAAAATGATAGCCGGTGGACGATGGGGTCAGCATCACACAGCCATCAATGCCCTGAGAGCCAATGTGTGATCCAGGATGGAGAAGTGTGGGGAGGGGTTAGAAACAGGAGTGCGTGAAACAGAGAGAGACAGAGAGAGAGAGAGAGAGAGAGAGAGAGAGAGAGAGAGAGAGAGAGAGAGAGAGAGAGAGAGTGTGTGTGTGTGTGTGTGTGTGTGTGTGTGTGTGTGTGTGTGTGTGTGTGTGTGTGAGCGTGTGAGTGTGTATGTGCAGCATGCGCAGAAGAACTGGAAACAGGACAAGGTCAGTCGATAAACCCACAATCACAGTCACACACATGAACACACGTGAACGCACACACACACACAGATACATGCGCATGCGCACATGCACGAACACATGCACACGATACCGCGTCTGCGAGAAAGTCTTCCAAGGTGAGCTCATCGCCCAGGTCGAGGATGGCATCAGAGACACCAAAGCTGGCCACAAGTAGAGCAGCAGCGACCACAAAGGCAGCCATGCGAGCGCCCAGCGAACCATCCATATCCAACGTTGTCGCTCAGTTGCAACGAAGTGTATGTGGTGTGTGTGTGTGCTGCTGTTGTGCGAGTGGGAAGTGAACGCATTGTTGCCTGTGGCTGCAGTTCCTTCAAGCGAACTTCCTGATCCCCTTTGCGGATGCCGGCCGGGTGGAATCGGTCGCCTCCGCTTTGAACTCGCTCAGCCAGTGTGGTGTGAACAGCCGCACCTTGGTCAGTAACTCCCACCCGTGCTCATCACCATCACGTGCAAGTACACGATGCCATGACGGTTGCACATGCAACAAAGACAGGCAGCGCGGTTGTCGCGTGCATGCATCATGCAAGCAAGTGGACGGTTAGACGATGTCGCTCTGCCTTGGGGTGTGTGGCAGTGTGCTCAGGTGTGTGGGGTGGGTGTGTTTCGGTCAGTGAGCGTGAGCAGGTGCGGCTGGCAGCAATCATCAGCATCCTCATTGTTGTTGCTTCATCTTGCTTGCACAAAACAGGTTGACGCGTTTTTTGCTGGGACGAAGTGAGCACAAGCAGCTGATTCCGGCTGGTTCCCAATCAACCACACCATGCATTGCGTGTGGGGAGGGGGACGAGTGTGGTGGATGTCAGCAAGCATCTCGCTCTCTCGCTTGCTTTGCTGGCGTAGCTGCGGGATTTGTACTGGACATTGGACAGACAAGCAATAAGAGTAGAGGAGATCCGACACGAATGAAACGAAAAGGAAGCACAAGCAAGCACGCACAGGAACACCGAGCACGCACAAACATGAACACGCACGCTGGGGGAAGCCAGGCAGTCAGCGTGAGCGGGAAGCACAGCATGGCCAACGCGCAAGAAGTAAAGAAATGAGCACACACACACAAGACGACAGACACCAAAGGATATGGGGACGACATCGCAGCACATCAAA